AAAGTGAGTACTGCATGTCGAAGCCAAGTCCCATTGTGATATGTAGGTACAAGTCCATAGATTAACCCTAGTCTGGTGAAAAATTATATTAAGATTTTAATTTAAGTCAAAATCAACAATTAATTTTAACTACAAACCACAACTTTTCAACCATATATTTTGTCAATTTTTTTTCAAAATCTACTAAAAATTTGATTTTAACCACCAATTAGGGGCAATAAGCTATTGTCCAAATGGAATCTCAAGCTAGATGCCCATTGAAGGTTTTGACATGTAACATACCTTAACTTAGGTTTCAAGAAAACCAAATGTAATTTCTTGAAATGTGAATGAAATCTCACACCATATATGTAAATGCAACTTCTTGAAGTGACATTATTTGCATGGTGAAGTGATTAGCAGTATTGAGTTCGGTTTTGGTAATGTTATGCCACTACACCAGAAACTGCCTATTGCAACGCACGAAAAACGTTGTCATAGACTTTTGGCAGCGTTCGGGTGCACGTTGCGGGTTTTGATGTTGCCGTAGAGTTTCAACTTTTGGTAACGTGCATTGAACATTGCTGTAATATCTATGGCAACATGCGTAGGATCTACATATATGGACCAAGTGTGAGATTGTTGGAAAAATAATTTGTCATGCGAGCCTACACATATAATTAAAGGTGTATTAAAGGCTATCTTATTGTTAAGCACATTTAAAGTGATCTAATAAATAATTAAAGTTATTGGGTTTTCAGCATCTAAATAAAGTGTATGCTTAAATATGTATAAAGACCACATTCATTAGAGTTGTATTTCATGATGGGCAGAAATACCCATGGACATATTTAAATAAGGTTATGGTCCTCAATTCATATGCGATTCTCATTCTTTGTGAAATCTCATTAACATAAAAATAAAAGCAAAAACATATTGAAGAGGAATATCCAAAACCCACAATCAAGATCAACAATTAAAATCATGAAGAAGGAATCAAAACAATCAAGATTAAAGAGCAAGAAGTCAATATTAAAGAGATTGAAAGTTGATCTTCAAGATTCAAAACAATGGATCCAGGTACGTTCCGCATATATTAATTTTCTCGGTGATTTGATATGAAGATTTTTGCAATATATAAAGTTTATAAAACTTGGTTGATTACAAAATTTTCAAAAAGTAGTATTAGAGTCAATTCCATGTTAAACCATTGAAAATCAACAAATGATTTTAGGGTTGCAATTCATTCTTTGGATTTCTCAAGTTTGGGATGCGAATTTTAGTCCTAAATTTCGAATTAAGGGTACCGTTGTTTGTTTAGCTATTTATAATGACATATTTGTAACAAATGATGAATTTTATAACCTTTATGAAAGATATATGTAAAATGTAAATTTCGGTATGTAAAATATAATTAGACCATGTATTTGTAATTTTTCCTAATTAATTATGAAGAGAGATTTAAAAATATTGTAGTAAAAAGGGTGAATAGGAGGAAATAATAGAAGGTTTGAACATAACCTTCGTTACCTCCAACTTTTATCGACTATGCTCTGTAGTTTCCATAGTCTGGATTGAAAGAGAATTTTTATTTTTTTAAATATTAGGTCATGAAACTGCAAGTGGATTATGAAGGTGCACAAAATGAGTAGCTTTTGTTTTTGCATTTGATGATACTGTGTTAAACGATAAAGAGCCAATATAGACAGAAACTTAAGCAGCATTACTCGTATTACAATCTTTTCAAATTCGCCTGTGTCGAATTACGAATCACCCACTGTATTAAGCATACATATGCTTTCCATTGCAATTTCTACGCACTAAAGGTCTAGTCTTTAAAATGAAGTATAATAACTAGAGATAGCAACGGGGCAGGTATGGGACGGGACGGCTCTTTTCAAAAGGTGTTTCTAAATTTGAGACTTCCTTCTGTTGTTCATTGATACACTAATGCATATGATTGATTGTCTAATCGTTGCTTTGGTTGGAATTTTTCTTCAAATAAATATTTTTTGATTATCAAGAGTACTGTATACATTTTTATTTATGCATGGTAAGAATATTGATATATACAGCAATATTTTTCTAAATCATTTTATTCTTCATTAGTAGAATACAGTTGGAAGATGTTTTAGTTGAGGGATAAAATTTCACATCAAATAAAGATGAAAATATAAACCAACTTATAAGGTTTTGTGTTACTTCTCTTAATAATGTTAACCTTTTAAGATGGAACTACAAGTCTTAATATGATATCATAGTCCATTAAATTTCAATGAGTAATTTGATCCGATTAATTTTAAAAAATGATTACATGAATTTTAAAATTTGTCTGCTCAAATCAGCCACCATCTCATGTGAGCATGTTAAGGAATAAAATTTCATCTCGAATAAAGATGAAAATATAGACCAACTTATAAGGATTTTGGCCACTTCTCTTAATAAGATTGAAATT